CATCTGGTGAAAATTTCATGTCATTAGCACCTCTAGTAATATATTTACTGAGAAAAATGGTGACGTGTTCAATACTTATTTTACCCGCTGTAAATCTAAACAGAACCTCCAAGTTTCCTGACACGTCCTAACTTTAAAGGTCCTGTGACCTCAAATTATTGTAATAAATATGAATGTGTTTCTGGAAAGATAACATTGAAAACACATTGAAAAATAAATTTCACTATGATGAGATGAACAGTTGTTGAGATATTCACCCGTGAAGGAACAGGAAGTGATGTCAAAGGGGAATGTTTGCATGTAAACAGCGTTGCTATAACAACTAACAACACAGACTGCAGAGAAGAATCTGATGTTTCTTTATTTTCAGTCTCTATCAGAGAGATGAAAAGTTCAGATAATGGTGTTTTAATAAACAAAGACCAGAGAGTTCATTTTTTAAGAGTTCTCTTTGATGTCACTTCCTGTTTCACTTTATCTGAGCCAAAGAAAATCTGTCAGTTATGAGGCAAAAGCTATGTCCAAAACGAAAGGCCGGGTTCTCTGGAGGACCTAGCCTGCCCGGTCGAGGTGGGCCGGGGTCCTTGGGACCGGGAAGACTGGAAAAAAAAGAGGCTGTGAATTTGGATGATCTAGCCTCCTGTCCTTACCCTGATGTACAGTATATCATGTTGCCAACTGTGACGACACTAAACAGAAGCAAAATTAGATCAAAATTAGAAAAATATCAATATATTAGCGTTATTAATATCACAAAACAATAAAATTAAGTTAAAGGTAATATTTGAAGAACTAATTGACCCGCCGTAGGTGCATGTTTATTTCGCGTTTTTTTCCTAACAAAAATAATATTTAAAAACTCGTCTGTACGAATGGTAAAAGTATTAAAAACACAATCGCTAGAAATTTTTTAATTTTATACAGCCATGTTTTTATTTAAAACGTATTCTTTTCTATCGCTTAGTCCGCCATTAGTAGCATTAAAAATTCTCCGGTCGAGCCGCAATGCATTATGGGATGTGTTGGGCTGGGAAGGATCCATTGGACCAGGACACATATGTCGGCCGCATCGGAGGAGTCTTCGGTTTTGGACGACCTTCGTCGCGGCGCTGTGACATAAGCGGCCGACGAATTCGGCCTTCAGAGGAACCGGCCCACCATTTTGGACAGAGCCAAAATAGGTAAAATCACGTGTTTTATGTTAAGTTTCTTAAAATAGATAGATAGATAGATAGATAGATAGATAGATAGATAGATAGATAGATAGGTAGGTAGGTAGGTAGGTAGGTAGGTAGGTAGGTAGGTAGGTAGGTAGGTAGGTAGGTAGGTAGGTAGGTAGGTAGGTAGGT